GTAAGTGTTTTACGGCACTTGCATCTGCATAAGGTCATAATATGAACACGGGGGATACGTAAGACAGTTTCAGTTGGTAAGAGTTTTTTAATTTTGCCCGGGTGGCTGCCGAAGCCTACTCTTATCGATTTTGGATCACCAAGGGATTGTTAACGTGCGCAACTTGAACACGGGACCTCCGAGGTTGTTCGCCCTTATCCGATTAGGCTAGGTGTATATCTTACCTACCATAAGATCGGGGGTTTGGCTGAAAGACGGCAGCAGTAAGAAGGAGCCAATGAATAGAAGTTGAAAGGCTGCAGAAAGAGTCAGGAGCCCAGAGGAGGGGGCAAAGGAGGTGAAGGGGTGTGGGCAGAAAGTGGAGATGAAAGCAGACAACAGGACATTGTTAGAAAGCAGGAAATGAGAACATTTTAGAGAAGAAAAAAATTCGTCTCTAGTCGGATTCGAACCCGGGACTCAGAATGAAAGGCAAACATCTTAACCTCTAACCACGAGAGCCCCCTATGTCTGTGTGTCTGTCTATAGATCGATCGATTGATAGATAGATAGATAAATAGAGAGACAGAGAGACAAAAAGACAGAAACAGACAAAGAGAGGGAGAGAGACATACAGATAGAGAGAGAGAGAAAAAAAAAACAGAGAGAAAGAGACAGAGACAGTGAGAGACGGGCAGAGAGAGGCAGAGACAGAACAGACAGAGAGAGGGAGAGAGAGGGAGAGAGAGAAAAGAAATTATCACGTTTGTCCCGTATCCATCTTCTGGCGCCACACTGTAGTGTTTCTTTCGTGTTGTGAGTGAGTGGGTTTGAGATTAATGACTCCGGCCAAGAGCTGTGCTAACTTTGGTAATGACAAAACGACTTGAAATGTAAACACTCACTAGATCTAGTGGTTTCAGGATTCCAGGCGTGGTTTCAACATGCTGGATTTAGAAATTAGGCCAGTATGTAGAGGGCTGGTGGAACAAAAAACAGCTGGGGAGGTCCATTTGGGGTCACTTGGTGCTTGCAGTTGGGTGGGTGGATGGGAAAGACAGAGAGAGAGAGAGAGAGAGAGAGAGAGA